TCACATCCTCTTCTATGTAATTTTGTGTAACATTGAGGGTCTCCTACCATTTCCATATGCTTTCCCTTCTCTCTCCCTTTCTCTCCCCTCACTCGTCTTTGTTTAATGTTAATCTTTTCCTCATGCTCTTCCTCCCTGTTCTGTTCTTAGTTGCTCTCTTTATATCAAAGAAGACATTTGGCATTTGTTTTTTAAGGATTGGCTAGCTTCGCTTAGCATAATCTGCTCTAATGCCATCCATTTCCCTGCAAATTCTATGATTTTGTCATTTTTTATTGCTGCGTAGTACTCCATTGTGTATAGATGTCACATTTTTTTTATCCATTCATCTATTGAAGGGCATCTAGGTTGGTTCCACAGTCTAGCTATTGTGAATTGTGCCACAATGATCATTGATGTGGCAGTATCCCTATAGTACGCTCTTTTAAGATCCTCAGGGAATAGTCCGAGGAGGGCGATAGCTGGGTCAAATGGTGGATCCATTCCCAGCTTTCCCAGGTATCTCCATACTGCTTTCCAGATTGGCCTTACCAATTTGCAGTCCCACCAGCAGTGTACAAGTGTACCCTTTTCCCCACATCCTCGCCAACACTTACGTTGTTTGACTTCATAATGGCTGCCAATCTTACTGGAGTGAGATGGTATCTTAGGGTGGTTTTGATTTGCATTTCTCTGACTGCTAGAGATGGTGAGCATTTTTTCATGTACTTGTTGATTGATTGTATGTCCTCCTCTGTGAAGTGTCTGTTCAGGTCCTTGGTCCATTTGTTGATTGGGTTATTTGTTATCTTATTGTTTAATTTTTTGAGTTCTTTGTATATTCTGGATATTAGGGCTCTATCTGAAGTGTGAGGGGTAAAAATTTGTTCCCAGGATGTAGGCTCTCTGTTTACCTCTCTCATTGTTTCTCTTGCTGAGAAAAAACTTTTTAGTTTAAGTAAGTCCCATTTATTTATTCTTGTTATTAACTCTTGGGCTATGGGTGTCCTATTAAGGAATTTGGAGCCTGACCCCACAGTATGTAGATCGTAGGCAACTTTTTCTTCTATCAGACGCAGTGTCTCTGATTTGATATCTAGCTCTTTGATCCATTTTGAGTTAACTTTTGTGCATGGCGAGAGAAAGGAATTCAGTTTCATTTTATTGCATATGAATTTCCAATTTTCCCAGCACCATTTGTTGAAGATGCTATCCTTCCTCCATTGCATGCTTTTAGCCCCTTTATCAAATATAAGAAAGTTGTAATTTTGTGGATTGGTTTCTGTGTCATCTATTCTGTACCATTGGTCCACATGCCTATTTTGGTACCAGTACTATGCTGTTTTTGTTACTATTGCTCTGTAGTACAGCTTGAACTCTGGTATCGCTATACCTCCAGATTCACACTTCCTGCTTAGAATTGCTTTTGCTATTCTGGGTCTTTTGTTTTTCCATATGAATTTCATGATTGCTTTATCCATTTCTACAAGAAATGCCGTTGGGATTTTAATTGGTATCGCATTGAACCTGTTCTTAACTAGTAGCTAAAGCAGGACTTCAGGAAGCAGATATTGTAACCAGGATAAGGAATATTTCTATCTGGCATGACACAACTTCCCTTCTATAGCATGGTAACAGTAGTAACAGTGCCCACTCAGTCATAAGTACAGTCTGCCTCTTTTTTTTTTTTTTTTTAGTACCAGTCATTGAACTCAGGGACACTCAATCACTTAGTCACATCCCCAGCCCTATTTTGTATTTTATTTAGAGACAGGGTCTCACTGAGTTGCTTAGCACCTTGCTTTTGCTGAGGCTGGATTTGAACACGCAAACCTCCTGCTTTAGCCTCCCAAGCCACTGGGATTATAGTAGTGTGCCACCATGCCTGGGGCCCCTCTTGAATCTTGACACTGGTCTCACCATCTTGTACAAGTATCAGGAATATAATTTTTCTTTAACATTGTAAGGAATAAAACTTTTGGGGGCACTGACATCTTTGTCATCACTCAGTCACTTCAATCAAGTGTAATTCCCAGGTGCTGGCAATACACAACTGAGTTGAATAGCCCATGATTTTTGCCCAGGTTCTAGGTGGATCTTCTTGGATTCATTTGTTTTGTTTATTTTGGTACCAGGGATTGAACCCAGAGGCGCTTTTCTATTGAGTCACATCCCCAGCCCTTTGCTTTTTGTTTTGAGATGGGCTCTCACCAAGTTGCTTAGGGCCTTGCTCAATTGCTGAGGCATGCCTCAAACTTGGGATCCTCCTGCCTCAGCCTCCCGAGTTGCTGGGATTACAGGTGCCACTTCAGTGGGCTTCATAGTTTAATTTAGCACAAACCTGACAAGCAGAATTGTGATTTCCTGTGTGAACTTTGAAATCAGAAAACACTGGGAAAATTCCTTGTGGAATGCACTGGAGCAATCTGAGTGTGTGACAGAAAGCGAACACAATGGTCAAAGACTGAAAGCCAGCACTGTAGAGTTTCCCCTACAGAAGTCTGGAGTGAAAAGGAGCAGAAAGTAGGAACAGGGGACAAAGACTGATCTACTCCCTGTGCAGTTACTAGGAAGTAAGGCCTGTGAGAAAAGAGAGAAAACATCTCCTGGAAATGACTCAGAGAAAGAAGCCAGGTCTCTGGGGGAAAGGAGATTTGAAGTAGGACGTGAAGAAAACACTCCTAAGAGAGCAAATTCGATGAAAAGATCTGTGGGAAATAGATGAAAAAGATCCGAGAGATGGGCCCCCATAAAGACTTTTGAGTGTTTGCAAATACAAGGATGTGTAAGAAGGAAATGAAAAAGTAAATATGTCCAACCAACCCACACTCTAACTTTGAAACCAAGTATTTGGTTCCCCTGGAGGGGTGCACCATTCCTGGAAGCACTGCAATACCAGGTCGATGCGTGGAGTGGACTGAGCAAGCTCCTATTCCATCTCCCTGCTCCCCAAATCCATTTAATATATTGTCCTCATATAGAGGACATATCAGATAGTGAACTGATAAGAACAGATACTATACTTGATCTTAGCCAAAAGGCCAAGAGTCTGTCTCTTGATGGGAACAGGACAGTCACATTTTCTTAAGAGCGTGTGGACTGTGATAATATGTAGCCATAATACCTGCAAAAACTACAATGTGCCACGGAGATGACGATCACACAGTATAGGGGCCAGCAAGCATTTTTCTGTAAGGGCCAAAGAGTAAATATTTTAGACTTTAAAAGCCATGTAGTCTCTGTTACAATTACTCAACTCCACCATTACAGCACAAAGGTAGTCACAGTTGATACCTAATAGGTTATTGCTGGATTCCAATAGAATTTTCCTGTAATTCCAGCAACTTGGAAGGTTGAGGAATGAAGATTTCAAGTTCAAGATCAGCCTTGGCAATTTAAGAAGACCCTGTTTTAAAATTGGGGGAGAGGTATAGCTCAGTGGTAGAGTGCTACTGGGTTGCATCCCCAGTATAAAAAGAAAAAGAAAAAAAAATCGACTTTATTTACAAAAGCAGAAGCAGACAGTTTTGGTCCAGGACTATAGCCTGCTAACCTCTGCTATAATGCATGACAAATAGTGAGAGTTCCATAATTAGAACAATTGCTATTGTCAGTGTTACTGATGGCTCTTGAAAACCATCAATCCACTCCTCAGTTTCCCTTTCTTTTAGGCTTCTAATTTTTTATTAATAATGTCACAGAAAATCTTAGGATCATTGTCTTATTAGGGAAAACCTTATAAAATTTCTTTCATATATAAACAGTAGACCTCCAAGAGGGCATTTCACATTTCTGAGTATAGTGACTTTTCATAAATACACTGAAATCAATACACCGAGTAACACGTTAATTAACAAGTTTGTTAGCATTTTTTGCTAACAAGTTTGTCATTGATATCCTTGTTGTAGTGGTTTTTTATCAGTTTTATATTATCATCATTGATACAGGCATTCCATGTCAAATCTACAAAATAGCTTCAAATTTTCCAAGTGTTATATTATACACTTCACTCATTAATTAGATTATCAAACAACCCAAAAGCCTGTCTACTGTCGTTATGGAAACATTATCTTTTCCTCTTAATAAATTACTGCCTTTGGTTATTTTTGGTTTTGTAACAATTTGCTTTTCTACATCAGAAACTTCTATAAATTTCCTTACTCATCTTGATCATTATTATTTCATGTTTCATTAATTTTTAATATAGTCTCTGCACTTTGTTATGGAAATTTTCAAACACAAAAATATTGAATAAAAAGGTACAATAAATATCCACTAATTTTTATCTGATTATCATTCTATTTTCCAATAAATCATTTGTTCAAGGAAAAAACAATGTATTCATTTTGATTCTCCACATCAAGTGTTATTAAACTCTCATTTGACTTATTGAGATATTCAATGTCTTCCATTGAAATGGTGTATTTAAATTTACTAACTTTCTGCATACTGTTGTACATCTTCATCATGTTTAGATAAATGAAATACATAAATACACCCCAGTAAATCCAGACTAAGTAGATCCCAAATTGAACTTTCACACGGCTAAAACCCAAAAAGGCTTTCAAACAAGTTTATGTCACCTTCCTACTAAATGTGAGATGAAGGCAGATTCACAGTGGAAAATGGTCTCAATCTTAATTCAACGTAATTAAAATACTTTAATTTTGAGAATTTATAAGAACAGATGAATACATTGCCAATGTCTGATGCCTGATTTTGTTGAGGGATTTTTTTGTTTTGTTTTTTTGAGAAAGAATGAGAAAGGCAGACAATAGAGTACAGCAAGAACTATGGACTCAAGATCAGCATCCTCTTCCACTAACTGGACTGTAAGAGCATTACAAATCTCTTTTACTCCCCAAGTCCAATTCTGTGTCCCCAGCTCAGTAAAAATCCAACTTATCCTAGATACAAGTGTGAAGATGTAAGGGCTGAAAAGAATCCAGGTACCTATGACCAAGTCATGAAAAGCTTGATTGACATGACATTTTGGGGTTTTCATTATTTGGGAGTATTTTTCTCCAAACTTCATCTTTCTACAAAATGAAGGGCCAGAAGCTTTTTTTTTTTTTAACAAACTCTCCATTATTTTACCGCATACCTCATAAATATAATCAAAACATACCCTTTAGCTAGAAATAGATTATCCCAGATGCCAAAAGAAAAAAAAAGCCCACATAATTTTCTACACAATGACTCCAGAGAACCTTTTGCAGAAGACAATTGATTTCCACCAGTATATTCATTAATTTTCATGACATCGTCTCTAAGTTTGGGAAATAAATGAGCTTATTAATATTTGATGACAGTGGGCAGTATTTTGGGTCATTTCATTAAAGGAGCTCCACAGTCAACTAAAAACAAGGAGGGAATTCTCAACCCAGAGTCTAGACTTAGAGCTGAGCCAATGGCAAGCCAGGGGCTCTCCCAATACAAAGGTTTGGACACATTGAAGAAATCAAATTGATGTTTCTCATCCCATGTTAAAACACACACACACACACACACACACACACTCACGGAGATGGGTAGTCCAGGTCTGAATCTGGAGTGACACCCTCGATAGAGTCTGAGATTTGTTTTTATCTTTTAAACACACAAAAAAAATAATCCCTAACTCCAGAATACAATCTTATGAAATACCAGCATATACAAATGTTTTAACTGGAGAGCTATCTATAAATATGAGTGGTAGTTTCCTTTAAATTAGCCACTTATTTAGAAAACTTTATTTATTTATTTATTTTTCGTTACCAACAAATTGCCTACCTGTTCAGTGATAGAGACCGAAGAAAGAAATAAGGAGTAAGGAGCTGTGTTTAAGAAAATGAGGGGCTAACTGACCAGGTTTCCCTATCCTCTCAGTGGTGATGTTTGTTTATTCATTCCTTCATTCATTTGCAGTGCTGGGTACCAAACCCAGGGCCTCAGGCACTCTAGGCAAGTGCCGGACCATTAAACTACATACCTAGACCATTGTGGTGATTTTTAAATGTCACTTTAATATTCTAAAACAGGTAGAGCCTTGGGCAGATTCTTTTCTGTCTCTCAGCCTCACTTTCCCCAGCTGAAAAGGAGAATGTGCATCTGTAACTTTAAAGGTTCCCTTCAGCTTAGAAAATTCACAATTCTCTCTTTAACAAAGTCAAATGTTGCTCTTCACCATTACCCTCACTTCTGGGAATTTCTCCATGAGCCAAGACAATGGTCTTTCTCCTGCAGAGCTTGGGACTGGCTCAGGAGTCCTGCACCTGAACCCAGCCATGAAACAGTCTTGTGTCGAGAGCCATCTGTGGGCTGTGTGTGGACTACATGGGCATCGCAGCCTAATGAATAGGAGAATCTGGTGTCTGGGAACTTCCAGTAGAAATTTCCTCTGGCTAAGACCACCCAGACATATGTGACACTATTCGAGTTCTGCCTGGTCCCACACAGCACTGGAGATGGGGTGACCTGCTGCAGCCACACAGCCTCTCAGAGGTGGGTGTGACCTGCCAAGATGCCAATCAACCTACTGAATGCAAGACACCATGAAGCGAGATTCCATCCCTGGAACCTTATCCCTGCCTTTGATGTACCCCCTTAAATAAACCACGGGAGCCATTTTCTAATTGTCCAGCTCCAGCTCCTATGGGGGCTGGGCCTATCAGGCGCTCCAAGCTTTCTTTAAAACTATTTTTTCCAACTCTGTGTCTTTTGTTCTTTACTAATTATTTCTGACTTATCTTCTCAGGTGGTTTACAGCCTCCACAGGCAGGAAGAAGGACCCCTTAGGGGGGGCGCTGGCTGCCTCCCCATAGTCCTATAGGAGGAGGAGGGAAACACCGCAGGGCTGTACTGACAGAGGACTTCCTCAGGAACACTAATATTCTCTCTCTAATGAGCTTTAGCACACGATCATGTGGAATAGTGTTTGCTTTCTCTTGATTTCTGGAAATAGCTTAGGTTTCTTCTGTGGGAGAAGAAATAAACAAACATACTACTTATTTAGACTTAAGAGACAAAATTCTCACCCACAGGTGCATGGGAATTATGCATAGTATATGCCTTCACAGAGAAGAGAGATTCCAAGGAAGCCTTGGGAGAAGGAAGTAAATAAGGCCCACTATAGACAGAAAAGACTTCCTTCCTAAGGCTTGAAGGATGAGTGAGATTTGGACTGAGACAAAAAAAAAGGGGAGGGGAGGTTCCATAAGTCAGTAAATCTGTGGTCCCTACTGGTATCTGTTAGATCATATGCTAAACAAACAGCCCAACCTATAATGCTCCAAAAGGCAGTGCAGTGGCTTAGGCCTGTAATCCCAGTGGCTGGGGAGGCTGAGGAAGGAGAATCACAAGTTCGAGGCCAGACTCAGCAACTTAGCAAAGCCCTAAGCAACTCAGTGAGACCCTGTCTTTAAATAAAATATAAAAAAAGTTCTGGGGATGTGGCTCAGGGGTTAAGTACCCCTGGTTCAATCCGTGGTACAAGGAAAAAATAACAATGGCCCAGGTTCTCAGGACCCTCCGTTGGTTTTGTGCCCGATTTTCTGTTCTCAGAATCCCCCATTGTGCATTTTCACTTTCTCTATCATCACTTCTTAAGTTACTGTTTCCCTAACTAGTTTTTTCAGATTAATTTTAGATTAATGTTAATGTTCTCATTGGATCATTTGCTTAACTCTTTTGGGGGAGGTGGTGTGCTAGGGATTGAACCCTGGAGTGCTTTACCACTGAACAATATCCTCACTCCTTATTTATTTATTTATTTATTCATTTATTTATTTAGAGACAGAGTCTTGCTAAGTAGCTGAGGATCTTTCTATGTTACTGAGGCTGAACTCAAACTTGTGATTCTCCTGTCTCACCTCCTAAGTGACTGGAATTGCAGGTGTGTGCCACTGAACTCAGCTGCTTCACTCTTGACTCAGTATGTTATTCAATTTTTCATCGCTGTGACCAAAATACCTGATATGAACAACCTAGAGGAGGAAAGGTTTATTTTGGCTTAGGATTTTAAAGGTTCAGTTCCTGGTTGGTCAGCTCCAAGGCAGGAACATCATCATGGTGG